GGTGTCCTGGTTAGAAGTTGCTGAAGTAAGCCTGTTTCTTCTACCTCTGTGTACTTTAATGCTCCTCAAAATTTGATTTGCATCCAACTTCCAAGGTCTAATCAACGAGGTAAACAGGAGGATGACCTTGTTTATCTGAACGGTTAAAGGTTGTTCAGAGAAAATGGGTATGTTTACATGATACACAGCAGTGCCAGCCAGTTATGCATATGCTTTTGTTTAGAGTGCCACGCTGAGTAGTGTTTTGGGTTCAGAAGCTGTGTGGCCAGTTAGCATGCTGTTGTACTTGGGTTAATTAATTAAGGGAAGGGAGAGATGGGTCTGAGTAGCTTTGGTACAGCAACATGTCTGACCAAGCTGTGTTGCCTGCTAATGGTACTGCTTCTGGTACTGCCTTGGGGACCTCTCTATCACAGTGTTGCCAAGTACCGGTAAGCATGTTCAAACAGTAGTTTTTGCATCTCTAGCCTGATCTTTCAGCAGTGTTCCATCTGGTTGGGGCAGAGTGGAGCAGGCTGAGTGAAATGCTGAAAATTAAAGCTGTTGCTCGAGTCATATACAGCAGCAGTGCAGCCATGGTAACACTATCCCTGTGATCTGGTGGTAGTGTCTTAGACTTGAAAAAACCCATCCAAACCCACACACTTTTTGAGAGTAATAACTGGGATAAAAATAGAAGAAATGCTTAAGAAAAAGAAACATCTGCTAAAATTCATGCATCTAACCTTAAGACTGTCTCCTTAAGCTACAATAGTTTTTTCTTAGGTGTTCAAACAAACAAGGAAAAGTATACTGCTGAAGCAGTCAGTCAGCATTATTGATCTTTATGTTTCCAGAGTAGTAGTACAGGAATTCAGGACTCCTTTGCACTTGTAGATTATCAGGTGGTTGAGACAATGGTAGAACTGATGTTGAATTGTCCAAATTCAGCCTCACATGTCTTGTTCTTATTGATCATCAGATGCAGGAGAACTTTTACTCTGCAGTCCTGTGGCAGGCCTAGGGTGATGTATTTTGGGGCAAAGGTAGAAAAGACAAATCCTGGCTGCCCTATCCCTAGTGGTGTGTTCCCTCCTCCTTGGCCATGCTGGCCCTGGTGATTGACAGACCCTTTGAGCTCTTTCAGCATGTGAACTTGGCAGAAAAACTCCTTCCCTTCTTCCTCCACCAACTGCATTGTCACCTTTTAATGTTTTTTTTCACTCTGAAATGACTTGGCAGAGGTTTGGCCAGTGTTGGTGAGCCAAGAGGGAGACTGCACAGCAAGGGGTGGTGCAGAGCTGCTTTGCATAGCCAGTTCAGCCTCCTCTAGCACATCTGTCAGAGACTGGATGGAATTTCAGTCCTGGCTCTCATTCTGAGTGTGGATGGTGACATTTCAGCATACAAATGCGGCCTCTAAGTGAAGTGTTTGGAACTGATAGCCAAAGCATTCAATGTTTAAGTCCTAGCATAAGTGAGCCACTTCTTAGAGTGTTTAAAAGTTGCCATGGTTATCATGCAGGTTTTTTATAGACTTCACTAGTTCACAAATTAGAATTCTGAACTACATCAGATGCACTGACTTCTGCCCTTCAGCTCTCTCCACAGTGCTAAATTCATGGTGGTGGACAACATTTTTAAGGCCAAGTTGCTTTTCTTTGAAGACCATCTCTTCAAGAGGTTGCTTAAATAAAAGCTTTTGGGAAGAGATGTTCCTGATTAATTTCTGTAGTAAGCCCTAAGACATGAGTGTTCTAAGGACATATTTTTATTTTTCCCACCAGATATTTGGAGAGGTGTGTTAAGGAACAATGATTCTGAAATGATGATTTCGCAGTGCTCTGCCTTGAGCATTAACATTAACATAACAATTCCTGTTGCTAGCCTGTAACCTCACTAGGCAATCTTTCTGGGCCAATAAGCTGGAAGAAAAAGGGAAAAAGTGTACTATTTATTACTGAAGCACACTGTTGTATAACAACACTTGTACTTGTTCTGAGTACAGTATGGCCCAAAGAGGGAGCAGAACCAAACCAAGCAGTGGCCTGTGCTTCCCATTAGTTGTAGTCCAGACACCTTTATTGTTTCTGAAGAGATGCTGGGGTTCTGCTCTTGGTTTTGTCAAACTGATTGCCCTCGTGAAAGGGGTGTGGGGGCTACAAAATGAAACTGGAATTTTTTCACTGATGTTTTTTCCATTGTAAAAAACCTAATCTTATATAGCAACTTTGTTTCAGATATGTTAGATGATATAAGTTACTGTTTTGAACTTATGGAGTGAATTGCTGTTAAGAGCAGCACTGTTCAGTAGATTGCAGTTCTTGCACCTTTTACCAGGAGGCACAAATGTTGCATTGGTTTCCATAAGCAAAGACCTGTTTGGTTTCAGTGTTTGGGCCAGTAGAGATGGGAACGGTTTTAGAAGTAGACATGTTCCAGGCCATGCAGCGTTAATAAAATTTGTTTAGTCCTGTTTATGGCAGCTGGTCACATAGTGGTTAGCTTCTCTACCTAAAGAAGTAGAAATAAAGTTCATTGGGTAATAACTTTAGAACAGGCTTTACCATGATGTTGCACTTCACGTGGACATGAATGCTACCCTGGGTAGCTGTGCCTTGCTTTGTTTAATATGTATCCTTGACAATACTTCCATCCTGCCTTTGCATGTTATCTTCGGGTTTAAATTTTTGATACCTTCCATCGTGGCCTCACTTCTCCCTGACAGAAGTATCATGTTAATGTGGCTGAACTATTGCTGGATGTGAGCCATCTCTGGATCTATTAAAGCTGGATTTAAATATACTTGAACCTCACCCAATCATTTGATTCTTTTTCTTACTATCTTAGGAAAGAACTCCTGTGGTTTTTCTGTTTTTCCTTTATGCGTACTGCAGTTCCCTTTCAATACCTTGTCTGTGCTGTGAAGGGGAACAGTCTGAGCCAGTAAGCCATCTGTACCACTGAGTGGAAGTCATTCTTTAAACCAAACTCTCTGGTCTTCTGGATTTTGAGGTGGATTGAGAAAGTCCTGGCAGGTTCTGGTGGAACACTCTTCCCAGGGTATGCTGTACTGCTTGCGCTGCTAGCGTCTTGTTGATTTGGATTATGCTAGTGTTTTTATTTTCCTGTATAATCCCACTGTATTCAGTTCACAAGCTGACTGTTCTGATGCTAAATTATGGTATTTAGACACTGAAGTTTTCTTTTCAAACAGACATCCTTTTAAGGGGAGTGATAGTAGTTTTCATTTGGATAGTTTTACTGGCAATTGAAATCTGTGGACAATATCTTCAGAATTTGTAAACTCTTCTGAAAGTGCAGAAGAAGCTAAAGCAGCCTTCCTGTTTTGTTCCCACATGACCTAATTGAGGAAGTGATGGTCTCTCCCTTCTTGGAGCTCTATTTCTGAACATAGATGTGCATTTGAAATGCAGAAATTCTAACCATAGAAGTAGTAAAGCAAATTTTGTCCAGTGAACTTGTTTACTTTTTCTGCTCTAGTTAGTCACTTGACTCACAAATGATTGGCAGATCTACATGTAGACCTGAAGGTCGAAGGATGAAAAACACGTGACCTTTGAAAGTATTATGGTCAAAGTAATACATTCCCTACAGGTTTATGTTGGCTACTAAAATAGCCTTAGAGAAGGTTGTGTTTAGTGCTTGTGTACATTAAGGCTTGGAGTCTTTGTGCTGTTGTGAATGAAATGCAAATGTGGTGGCTTTTGGTTCCAGAACTGTTGGATATAATAAACAATATGGTGTTTCAAACCACAAAACTTCCTAGCCCTAACAAAGCTAAGAAAAAACACTTATTAACTAGAACACAAGTTTCTTTTAGTTCAAGAGGAATTTATTTGGAGTTATATCTTTAGGTTGACAGAAGCTATCTATTGAATCATCTGCAAAGGTGAAGAAACAGCTTTGAAGATACAGCTTCTTGTCTTTAAAGACCTGTTAACATGGAATGTAAAGTTAAATCATTCCTCTCTTTGGCAAAATACTTGAGATGCTTTTGAGGTGCATAGTTTGGTGTTTTTTCAGCTGAAGATATATTTATGACAAAGTGATAGGAGAGCTTATGCTACTCTATTTCCTATGCTCCTTACTTGCTAGTGCTTATACTTTTTCCATGAACAATATTACGCATGTCCCCAAAAGAAGTAAGTCTTGTCTTGCTTAAAACCTGTGTTAAAAAGCCAAATCAAAGCCCTGTGTAACTGGTGGAAAGGAAGGTGAATTTTTGTGTTAGAAATGTGTCTTAAGACTGCCAGAAACAGCTACATCAGAAGCATCAATTGTTAGGATGCTTTTTCTTGTCTATTTGGTATTGCCCAAAGCATAGGAAGGTAAGTCTCAGTGATGAACTTTAGGTGACCACATGCTGTCTTAAAACAGCTGGTTACTTTAAGTCTGTATGTGGACTGTTGGTTTTTTCTAAGTTAAACTGATTCCAGATTGAAACTGGCTGTGAATTGGTCACACAGACTTGTGCCAAAATAACTGACATTGTTAATGCTTGTATGTTTATTTCTGTGCAGGTGTGTGGATAAATTAGGTCTTAATGAGAATAGTTATGAGGATAGAAAAGACTGCTGCAAAACACTCTAGTAGTGGGTGTTTCAGATCATCGTGATCTGGAGATGTTACTTCCTGTGAAATTGCTAAACAGTCTATAAAGAAAGAAAAGTCTGGATTCATGTTCGATTCTACAGTCAAGTGCAGATTATAAAGGCAGGTTTTTGTTTTCAATAGGGCAATGAAGCTTTTTCCTTTGTGTCCCAGAAGTAAAGGGGGATGTCTAAAGTTGGTTTAAAAATAAATGACTTTCAGATGAGAAGCTGCTTTTGAATTTGTTCTCAGAGTATGCTACACTGAACTGACGCTTGCCTGCCTAGCAAGTTGTTTCCTTCTTCAGTTCAGGTCTGATTCCCTGCATGTATTCATGCACTTGTTGAGTTATTGAATAGAACCTGTTAACAATATTAAATTATAAAATGTTTTTTTTGTCGTTGTAGGAAGAAATCTGCTTCATCTAATTCAAACCTAATTCAGTCCTGCTAATCTCCTAATACTGTAGATTGAAAGATTTTTTTGGTGTTGTCAGGATACCCTGTAATGGGCAAGGAGCCTGAGAGAATACAAATCATTCTGGTTTTTTAATTTTTAAAAAACTTTTGTGCTTAACAGGTAAGAAACTATTAAACTTCACCTACAGCAGTAGATTTAGCTTCTGCATCTATAAAGCCTTATCTTAAGTGGTTCCTGAATGCTTAAAGCAGTTTTTCATGTCCCTGATGTTCACTGAAGGCTTATTTTCCTGATTTCTGTAGGTTCACATGTACCGCCTTCTAAGCTGCTCTTCGTTCTGCAGTTCAGACTTTGTGGCCATTCCTTCCCTTTCCTTGCGGCTTTTTTAATGACTGTTTTCTAGCTGTCTGTTTCTATCTTTTAACCCACTCTGCAGTTGCACTGTCTTCTTTCTGCACCCTGCTTTGGTCTCACAATGAGAATCGAGGGTCATCTAGACGCACTGTTGTGGTTATTTTATTTGTTTTACAGGAAACATATTTTAAAGTGTTTTGGTTTTGTGCCAGGAGGTGTATCTGCTGCCCATCCTCCAATTCTTTGGAAGAGTTTCAAAGCAAATGTATTCATGAACTGACAGATATTAGGTATGAATGATGTTTAGCACTATAGGTTATTGTATTGAAGTATGGTAATACTGTCTTCTGCAATTTAATTTTGGTACTAAACTGCATGCTTCAGTGTAAAAATTGTCTTTTGGGTAGCTATGCATTGTTTAGCTTGCTTTTTGTTATATTATGGAACCATCTGCTTTTCTCATTTTGAAGATAATTAGAAAAATTTTAAATATGAAGAATCGTAACTAAATTCTGTGACCAGTATTTTAGATGTGTAAATGTTTGGCTGTTGAAGTGGAGTTACTAGAAAAAGATTCCATCTTTTCTACTTGGTCAGGGGAGATGAGTGTCTAACTTGTAGTTATTGCAGGTAATTAAGATCTATATTAATTAACACTTATTAACCTGTGGTTTGAGGTAGTGTAGGAATTGAAAAGAATACACTTCTTGCTTGGTATAAAATTGCTCTTGTACCTTCATTGCAAACTATAGATTTTGGCTGATTTTTGTACTTTTGCTGGACAGCTATGACTTGAATTTTGAGGGACTGATGTCTTTGAGTAAACATTAACTAGTTTGGACTTGTTTATGTACTTCAGCATGTCAAAGCAATTGATTTTTGGGGCCTTTGGTCATAATAGGGGTATATATACATGTGATAGATACATTATTTATAAATATTGTAAAAAAAAAGTTCTGATCTAGATAAAATTGAAGCTGGTGTGCATAAATAAGGGAGGCTAGTGTGATAAGTAAGGGTGAAAGTGATTTCACTTCTATCACAATTCTTAACTGCTTGGCAACCATAGCAGGCTCCCTCTTTCCTTGTACGATAGGCAAGAGAAAGTCCCTACTTATTAAATAATTTGCCTCCTCCTCAGGAGGAGGAAGAGGCAGCAGCTGTTAAAGAGGATGTTATTAAAACTGTTGTCTTCATATAGTTCTCTGATGTGTTTCTCTCCCAGTCAAGAAAGGACTGCCACATGGTGTCTTTTGCCTCCGTTTTACTCAAGAGTATACCATTACCCTCTGAAAGTGTAGTAGTTAGCTGAGGGGCATATGTGCCGTAAATGAGTACAGTGGCTGGAAAGAATTCTATCTGTAGTACAAGCTTAAATTGTACAATAGTCAGTGAACATGCTGAAGTTTTTCTCTTGTATTCGGAAACATTGTTTGGTTACATAGGAATTCTTGATGAAAGAGGCTGCGATGTTGTGGTTTTTGGTATGTAAGTGAAACTTTACCTGCAAATAGTTCAAAACATTGAAATGTTTCTGGCTTATGTACAAGGAATGCTGCCCCACAATTACTGAATCTTACAATTTAATGATGGTAAGGTCTTACTAAGACGATTATAGAATCACAGAATCATTTGGGTTGGAAGGGACCTTCAGAGGTTATCTAGTCCAGCCCTGCTGCAATTGAGCAAGGACATCTTCAACTAAATCAGGTTACTCAAAGCCTCATCCAACCTGACCTTGAATGTTTGCAGAGGTGGGACATCTGCTGCCTCTATGGGCATCCCACTCTAGTGTTTCACCACCCTCATTGTAAAAAAAAAAAGTCTTACCTACTCTGACTCTACCCTTTTTCAGCCTAAACTGCTACCTCTTATCGTATCACTTCAGGCCCTGTTAAAAAGCCTGTCCCCATCTGTCTCATAAGCCCTCTTTTAGGAATTAAAAGGCTTCTATAAGGTCTCCCCAGAGCCTTATCTTCTCCAGGCTGAACAGCCTCAGCTCTCTCAGCCTTTCCTTGTGTGGGAGGTGCTCCAGCCCTCTGGCCATCTTCCTGGCCCTCATCTGGACCCACTCCACCAGGTCTATGTCCTTCTTGTGTTGGGGGCCCCAGAGCTAGACAAAGTACTTTGGGTGGGGTCTCATGAGAGTGGAGTAGAGCGGGAGAATCACCTCCCTCAGCCTGCTGGTTCTGCTTCTTTTGATGCAACCCAGGACATGGTTGGTTTCTGGGCTGTGTGTGCCCACTGCCAGCTCATGTTAAGCTTCTCATCAACCAACACCACTAAGTCCTTCTCCTCAGGGCTGGTCTCAGTCCATTCTTCTCCCAGCCTGTGCTTGTGCTTGGGATTGCCCCGACCCATGTGCAGGACCGTGCACCTGGCCTTGTTCAGCCTTGTGAGGATCACATGGGTCCTCTTCTTGAGCTTGTCCAGGTCGCTCTGAATGGCATCCCATCTCTCAGGTGTGTCAACTCCACTATTCAGATTGGAGTTGTTGCAAATTTGCTGAGGCTGCACTGAATCCAACGGTTATTGATTAAGATATTAAGTGGTACTGATCCCTGGCCCCTGAGGGACACCACTTATCACTGGTCTCCATGTGGATGTTGAGCTGTTGACCACTGGGTGCAACGAGCCAACCATTCCCTACCCGCTGAATAGCCCGTCCATCAAATCCATGTCTCTCCAATTTAGAGAGAAGGATGTTGTGAGCGAGTGTTGAAGACCTTACAGAAGTCCCGATAGATGACTCAGTAGATTTTCCCTTGTCTGTTGATGTAGTCACTCCATCACAGAAGGCCATTAGGTTGATCAGGTAAGACTTGCCCTTGTGAAGCCATGCTGGCTGTCTCAAATCACCCCCCTGTCCTCCATGTGGTTTAACGTAGCTTCTAGGAGGATCTGTTCGATGATCTTCCCAGGCACAGAGGTGAGGCTGTCTTCCACTACTAGATCAGGTTGCTCAAAGCCCTAGCCAGCCTAACCTTGAATATTTTCAGGGATGGGGCATCCACAGCTGCTCTGGCATCCTGCTCCAGTGTCTCACCACCACCCTCGTGACCAGAGGCAGTTCTTTGAACCTGTCCTTCTGTACCGTGTGCCCAGGCCTCTCACCATCTCAGAGGCACTTGGCTGTGCCCACACCCCGTGCATCGCTGTCTTTCCTGGACTAGGGAGACCAGGAGGATACATGGGGTTCAGATGCAGTTGCCAAAGTATCAAGTAAGGAAGGAGGAAAGCATTTTTACTCTTATTTTTCTTGTTTTATTGTTGGGTTTTTTAAATTGTTTATTGCCCAACCTTGAAAAGAGCTCCTAATGAAGCGGCTAGAAGGGACCTTAATGCTGCAGGCCAGCACTTCTTCCTGGCAGTACTGCAGCCTTCTGCTTCTCTAAAGGAACAGCCGTTTCTCAACTTCTTTCCTTGATCTGTTGCTATTCTTGGTGCACCACTGCAGAGGGTCTGGCTTAATCTTCAGCCACCCACTGGGTAGCCTTCTCTTCCTCAGACTGAAGAAGCCCCACTTCCAGGCCCCAGGGACCTCAGTGGCCCTCTGAGGGATGACTCCTGTTGCCCCAGTGCAGCAGCCTGGTGGAAACCAGGTCGTCTCATTGCCATTTCTTGGGGCTCAGGGCAGAGGAGATGGCACCCCTTCAGGAGGGGTGGGGAAAGGGGTAGGGGATGGGAAAGAGAAGGGCTCACACCACCTGTGGCAGGCAACAAAATAATTGTTAATGCTGGGAGACAGAGTGGGTGATCCTGCAGGATAGCCAGGTGCAGAGGCAGGTCTAATGGTAGGGTGCTGGCCGGCTGCTCCTGCAGTGCTGTGTTGATGGTGTCATGGAGGGGAGCCCTGGCACAGTGTATTGGTGCCAGAGGAGCCATGCTGGAGGTGGATCTACTTCCATCTGTTCTTCTTGACCTCTGGGTGAGCCACCTCCATGGGCTCTGCACCATCAGCCACGTGAATGATGGCCATTGCTAACCATGTGGCTGATGGTGCCCCTACTCTGTGTCTTCTGCCTTCCCATGCAAAAGTGGACAGCCACTTGCCTTACTGCTGTGGGACTTCTTTGTTCCAATCTTCCTTGGAATCTGAGGGCCTCAAAGCTCAGAGAATTGTGGGCTAGCTGTTGGGGTCCCCGTATTTATATGGCCCAGAACAAAAGGCAGTGAGGTGGCATCAGGAGGCCACTGTGATGATAATGCATGTGGCCATTCCTGTGTTACTGCTTTTGTTTTTTTATTTGTGGTTGCTGGATGTAATGTAATTCCAGGGACTAGGAACAACAACTTTCTAGCTCAGTAGTCTTTTTAGCTAATAACAATGAACTGCACTGCTTTAATTGAAAATAAATTTATTTTTAAGTTATTGGATTAGTAGGGTCTCTTGCATTATTTGAAGTATTTAGAAATAAAACTAAGGAATAATTAAGTTTTACACTACTTAAAACCCATACTATTTTAATGGATAAAGAATTCTATGTTTTTCCCCTGAGCTCTCAATGCAGAGGAAGCAGTGTAAGTGTGTTCTTGTATGTGAAAGATTCTTTCCTGCATTCATCAAGTGGAAAAAGTCAGGAGTTCAGTTATGGCATAACTGTGCATTGCTATAAATTACTTTATGGAAAAGAACTGTTTTTGTCCAGGTCTTCAAGCTAGAATGCAAGTGTCTTTTTTTTTGGTATTTTATTCAAGTTGCCCTTGATTCCAGACTAAATGCGTAAGTGCTTGATTTTCTCATTTAATATTTAATGCTTCGACGGATTGTGCCCCAGCCTGCAAAGGAGGGGCGGTTCTGGGCAGCAGGTTTACAGTGGGTAATGCTTGCTGAAATAGGCAGTTTAAACAGTAGCCAGTAGAGGGGCTTCTCTGTCAATTTGGGTGACTGGTTTAGCTCAATTTTTTTCAGATGTGCACTCATGCTTAACTTTGTTTTAAACAGTCTGTTTCCAGTGTCAAAATAAGCACTCTACAAATGCTAGTATGGTGGCCAATTACTGTCCATTGTTTGGAGAAAGGGGGGAAAAAAAAAAACCCACACCCTAGTGACTAACTGAGGTTATGTGAAGCTGGCAGAAGGGCATGCTTAGTATTTTAATCACTTAATGCATTTAAGTCTTAAAAGTCTTGGTAAATTCTCTTTTGATGATAAAAGCATAAGAATTTATCTTCATCATTACTTTGTCCTTCCCCAAATCTCCCTACCTGTTTGGTTTTGAGAAGGCAGTGGATTGTTTGCGTTGGCAATGCTTTCATCACTGAGGAAGACAAGACCTTCTTGAAAGCCTGTTGGGAACACCAAGGACTCCTTTTTTGGCTGCACTCCTTGCATCCAACTCCTAAGCTGTCTTTTGCTAGTTGCTACACAGAAGTTGTAAAAACCTGTTTTGCTGAAGTAGGCTACATCATTTAGGATATGTTATAGTCAAGGAAAATTTTGTTGGTACAAAAGTAACTGATTTTTAATCTGTGCACTTGAACCCTATAGTAAAATATGGTACATAAAGAAAATTGACAGTTGTGTTCTGAGTTTAGTGTTTTATAATGCAATCCTTATTATAACTATGCAGCGTTTGTCAGACTTTCATATGTTACGGAATCTTTGGCTTGGCACTGATACACTTTTTAAACAAAAAAGTTTCTCTTGCTTGAAAATGAAACAGACTGTTGCTGTAAAGTCTGAAGTTCCTACTGGATGCTTTGTGTATACACATTTAACATCCAGTTAGGTAAAAACAGGTTTTAGCTGAGGTCTGGTTAGTATTGTTTCTGCAGTGGTCTAGATTTACATGTCTATGTCTGCTTGTAGCTACCAGTGCTCAACTGTTAGGTAGAAGTGTGAGGTGCCAAGTTAGAAGTAACTCCTTGTAAAGCATGTTTCTTGTGTTTGTTTTGCCTAAGTATGATGCTTAAAAGTTTAACTTAAATGAGCAGCTTACTTTAATAGTTTTCTTATTTACTGAAGGGACTTCTGGATGCTTTAAAGTAACAAATCTATTTTGTAAATGATTCAATATAGGAGACATTGTCCAAAATTAAACTGTATTCTTGCCTGACTGGAATTCAGGTCTTTGTCCTGTAGCTTGGAAACAGGCATGTTTGTATTCAGGAAAGGTGTTCTGATAGCTCAAAGCTACAGAGCTGATAGAGTTGTTACCAACTTTTTTTTTAAGGAGATGCCAATTGAGCATTTGGCCTCTAGAAAGAACCACGGACTAGTTACTGGTAACAACTACAGCATGGTTTTCTTCAGCTCTAGCAGGCAGAAGACTTCATTTTTTTTTTTTTTTTCTGGTCTGGAGCAATTGTTTCTAAGCATTACTACTTCCCTTTAAGCAAACAATTCAAGTGAGAATTCAACTTAGCTGTATCAAAGCAGTTGACAGGCTTGCTTTGTTTTGGTGAACTGCTTTCTTTTCTTTCAGATTTAAGTCAGGTGCTTACGTGGAATGTTATTTCAGCATTCATTCGGAGAAGATTCTGTTAAAAATATTAACTAAGAAAACAAAACAATATTGTTATGAATGCTAGGCCTTCCTTAGGATCTTGAATTGTCATAACTTGTACATCAGCAGGTTCATGGAAAGTTCAGAAGTACTGTTTACATGAATTCAAAGTCTGTTGGTCTTGTGTGCTGGAAATGTTCAGCAATTATGGAAAGCTAATTCAAGTTACAAAAGACAGTCAAATATCTGCAACAGCTTTACCATCTTTAACACAGTTTTTCTTTCCATATATGAGAGTTTTTAGTATTACGCTGGATTATGTTGCTTCTTGTGGTATGCAATCTTGAGCATGTCTTGTATTTGACGGTCTTTTGCATTTTGCATTGGATCCAAATGTTACGATTTTTCTGCTCAGATTGGCACTGGAGCTGAACACTGGGAGTAACATAACCCAGTTGTCATGTGGAGTTTATAATAAATTTGCAGATAGTGGAATTTTGGGAGGAGCTCTCCTGATTTGTAGACATAAGGCCTAATTCTGACTCTGTTAATGGGACTGAAATTTGAAAAAGCATTAAGATAATTCAAAGTTTCAGAATTGGTAGGCTTTAGAAGGGAAGGTAGAGCAGTAGGCTGTGGGAAGAAGAATAATAACTATTTGTTTTTAAAACTTCCATTCAGGACTATGGTAGGCTAATTGTAGATTATTGCCAGTGATAACATCTAAGAAAATTCTCTTCTCTTCAGGGTTCCTGGACTTCCTCGTTGGCATGTTTTATGTTATTTATTTTTTCCTTATTTTAAAGGACCTGGGCTTCTGTTGAAAAGTGATGGAATAAACTCTGGCTGGCACCTGACTTGTTGAGGGAGCACCCCCTAAAAGAGCTTGCCTGGGAGACAGTTTGTGAAATAATGCAGTAACATGTTTGCAGTAGTATGCTTCTTTTTTTGTTGTTGCTATTTTCCATTGCTGAATTTTTATTGAACTAAGTAACTGGGAAATACATTGAAACTACTGAAATGAGCTTTAATCACTGCAGAGGGATTGCGTCGGGAATTAGCATTGTTAGTAGCTACTTTCAAAGATGCTACTTTCACTAATTGGGGTGAGGGGAGGGATTTTATCTACTTTATAGAGGCTTACAAAAAAATAAAAAAAAACCAACAAAAAAAAAATCCTGTGACTTTAATAATGCCCTAGATGCACTAGTATCACTTGCTTACAGTCTGTATGTAGCCTGAATACCCACAAGCTAGTGTTTTTAGTAACAACTTTTTAAACTAACTTGTGAGAGCAAGTGTTTTGAACTCTGCTTGTAAGTTTACTAATGCTTTTAGTAAATTTTTTTTCTTTTTTTTAACCACTTAATCCTTGCATGGGATCTCAGATGATCATGAGGGTGGAAGCAAGATTGGGGGTGGCCTGGGAGGAATACAGAGAAATTGTCCAAGCAGACAGGGATCAGGTTAGGAAAGCTAAAGCCTTGATAGAATTAAATGTGGTCAGAGACATCAAGGGCAACAAGAAAAGCTTCTATAGGTATGCTGAAGGGAAGACTAGGGAAAATGTGGGCCCTCTCAAGAAGGAAGCAGGAGACCTGGTTACCCAGGATATGGAGAAGGCTGAGGTACTCAATGACTCTTTTGCCTCAGTCTTTACTGGAAAGGACCTGAGCCACACCGCCCAAATCACAGAAGGCAAAGGCAGAGACTGGGAGAAGGAAGAACCGCCCACTGTAGGAGAAGATCAGGTGTGAGAGCATCTAAGGAACCTGAAGGTGCACAAGTCCATGGGACCTGATGAGATACATCTGTGGGCCCTCAGGGAACTGTCAGACATAGTTGCTAGGCCACTGTCCGTCATATTTGAGAAGTCTGGTGAAGTTCCCAGTAACTGGAAAAGGGGAAATATAACCCCCATCTTTTAAGAATGGAAAAAAGGAAGGCCTTGGAACTACAGGCCAGTCAGTTTCACCTCTATGCCTGGCAAGATCATGGCGCAGATCCTCCTGGAGATTCTGATGAAGCAGAAAATAAGGAGGTGATTGGTGACAGCCAACATGGCTTCATCAAATGAAAATCTTGCCTGACATATTTAGTGGCCTTCCACAATGGGGCTACAGCATTGGTGGATAAGGGAAGAGCAACAGACGTCATCTACTGTACTTGTGCAAAGCATTAGACACTGTCCCACATGACATTCTTGTCTTTAAAGGTGGACAAGGAATTGATAGGATGGTCACACTCAGAGTTGTGGTCAATGGCTCAATGTCCAAGTGGAGACTGGTGACGAGTGGCGTTCCTCAGGGGTCAGTGTTGGGACTAGTGGCGTTTATAGTCTTTGTGGGAAACATGGATGGTGGGATTGAGCTCACCCTCAGCAAGTTTGCTGA